CCACACGCAAACCCAACAGTTCTGAGATCATCGTCTTGTGGCTAAAGCCAAGTATTATCATCTGCACATCTGTATTTATTCTTAAATAATTAAATTGTGTATAGATAAAGTATTATATTCAGCGATAAAGGAAGCTTCTCGTTGTCGGGAGTTACATACCGTTAACACCCCTGAAGAGAGTCAAGTGATTACCAAGGAGCGAAGCTCTTATTACTGAGCGGCTATATGTGGATACAAAGATTTTAAACGAGTTAATTTGGCTAATTTATGTTTGAAATGAAACAGGTTCGTGAATCTGCTCAAAACTCTGTTTGGCAACGTTGCCCTTCCAGCTTATGTTTTCTTCTGCGTTTTACGACTACGACGACGACTTGCCATTGATGAAGCGACACCTTGTCCGCCTGTGAATCCTCCTTGTTGATGTTCCTGTTCTTGGGCAGGCAGGGGACGGGCGCTGATAGTCTGCGCCGTCGTGACGCGTCGCTTCGCTAACTGGCGTCTTGTTCGCCGCAATTTCTTAGCACGGGCCTGATCCCAAAGACGCTTCTGGTTGCAGGCATCTAGTGGGTTGTAGACGTAATCTGAAATCGGAAAGAATGACATTCAGGTCACAGCATTCCGTAAACGGTTGCTTCTTATCACGTGATTTGACATGAGAGGAGGAAAATCAGCGACATTCATAAATCATATATTACAGAAAGACTTGACTCGTAAGTAGATGAAAACGTTTTGGAAAAACTGTCTCCAGTTTTTCCGTCGTCTAATATAAATTTCTCCAGTTCCCCGCATAGCCACTTCAGCCCTGAAGATTGAGAAAGGATCTTTCTCCGACACTTCCATCCACTTAATCGCCGTGGAAGCTGCTGATAATACAAAATTAATATTTCCATTACGATTATTAAAACAAAGCAAAAATTAATGAAGCTGAAGTGGCTTCAAAGGGAGGTCTTCCGGATAAATTACTGCCTCAATATCAAGGTAGAAGTCACTTCAACTGATACACAACCACAGGACTTTGATGGGCTTTCGCGGTGGTGAGGTTGAGGATGATGATTAAATTCTGGATTTTGGTGCAGTGTAGACTTGGCAGGAAATGAACTCGAAATACAAGGGAAAAATACGCCTTCTGTAATTTGGTTGACTTTTACCACTCCGGCTCTGATCGACCCAAATTTTAAAATATGTTACTAAAGAATAAAGTGTCGTCAAAAGTTCTCTTACCTAAAATTGATAGCAGTCAGTCTCAAAGAAATATGAATCGGTGATGTTTCTCAAAATTCTCAGGTAAATTTTTTCGAAGCTTTCTGCTGGTTATTGACATTAAAAGTGAATTAATTACTTACCAGGATATTTCTTCTTATGTTCCGCGTCCGCCTGGCGGGCTCGTGCATAATACTCTTCCTTGTGCTCCACGTCAATGTCCCTCCACATGTAGCCAAGTCTGCAAGTAGAAGAAGCAAAACTTGTAAGAACACAGGCAGGTTGTAGTACGAACGTCCAAGGGTAAAGACAAAGGCAGTGGCGTATGAGAGCGCACAAAATGTTTCAGCTGTTCTGGACAATCAGAACATTTTCAGCAAGTGGAAATAAGATATCCAATTTTGAATTCACCTTATGCATACTCTGCCAGTTTTGGATCTTTACACTTTTACAGTGAAAGAATTGTTCCGGGCGGTCTCATAAATTCTTCTTCTCTACTGTAGGCTAGACTTCTGTCCTGTATATCATGTGTTCTGTTTATAATTAAGTAAATATAGATTCATAATCTAGCAATGAAAATCAAACCAGCCTTTAATTTAATGTGCTGAGTTTGTGAGTCAAATTTTACAAGATTCAACCCCCCCTTTTTTTAATTAATTAATTAATTACTAGGGCTCATAGTTTATCATCATAATTATCAGCATTTGTCTTTTTCTCTCTTTGAGTAGAACAAATTTCAGAACATGAGAAAATTCTCACACATAATTTTACAGGTTCGCACCGTCGCCATGTTTATAATCGTTAACTTAGTACAATGATCATGTCTGCTGAATTCGAATATCTTTGAAGACAATCTGTCATTCACGAATGCTCTGCACATTAAATTGTTAACAAGTAATTGTCCTGAAGTACATTTTGTATTGCAACTTACCTCACACTAATTTGCTCATTTCGTTCCCCAGGATACAGGACAGCCAGTTTCTTTCTCCATTCATTAGAGAAGATCACGTAGGCGTTCGGCGGGCGTGGTTGATCATTTGTTATCGTGAGAATGTTGAAATAAAAAATGTTCCCCCACATCAGAATATTATTGCTAAATGTGTCAGTACACATACTCGTGTATTGCGATACCAAGTTGAAATGATTTCTCTTCCTGGTCTTTTCAAAGTTTGCATTTGTCAGTAGTGAGTGACAGCCCACTGCCTCTCCACAGTTTCTACTCAATCCTTATCTTTGTCTGCTAGATCCATCTAGTAGGAATCAGGAGAGACTTGTGTGAGAAATGGCCGCCGAATTTTGCTTACGGAATATCTCGTTCATGCTCGTTTGGTTCTTTTATGTGCCTCTCTGAAGGAAGTTGTGCTTTAGATTTTTATCACCCCTTAAAAATGTATCGACCTTGGGGCTGGTGTTGAGCACATTAACCACTAGTCCACTGAATGCGACAAGTTCTAAAGTGCCAAAAAAACAAAAATAAAGTTTATGAACATTTTTTATTTCACTTTATTAAATACGAGGGTCGCTCATTAAGATAACTATGTAACAAAAAACAATTTAACGAACACATTTTTTATGATATATTCCGAACTAAATAATGCACTAAACCAATTAAACTGAAAACAATTGAACTATTCAACGAAGAACTTGTGGTGGTTCATTGATGGATGTGGTTGTAGGGCTTGAAGTGAGACCCCGCTCACATAACATTGGGTCCTTTCTTGTTTACTTTAGCCAGATGGTGGGCTCAATCTCAGTTTCGTCTACGTAGTTTTCTGTTACTAGGCGAGCAACCTTCAGGAGACGAAGTAAGGTCTTTTAGAATGGCTTGAATGTCCAGGTCAGTTATTTTACTGGGATGTATTGTTGGGTCAGGAATCTGGAAAGGAAGTAAAAATTTGGATGAGAATAGGAACTGGAATAATGGGTAACAAGGTTTTGTGTTTTCGTCTTAACGAAGACGTCGTTAAACAGGCTGGCTCTGAGTCTTCCTGAAAGAGGGAAGGTTGTCTACCCTGGGGGACACATCAGACAGAGCTCGTCCTTGTCACTTGGCTTCTGACAGGTGGACACAAAATTATTCTTGGTCTCAAGCATTTTTTGGGATGACTTCTGTTTGACCCTGCAGAGCAGAGCATGAGTGGTTTCCTCAGCCACTGGGGAAGAAGGAGAAAGAAAGCTTTATCATGAAAACTGTCTTTTTGTTTCTTGATTTATTTTCTTGTTTATTTGTTCATACTACCTCCTTTCAGCACAAAATTTGAGAAACTGTTGTAGCCACCCACTCCTGCCTAACTGGTATCATAAAACACTGTCACTGGGAGTGGGGAGGCATTGTCCTTTCCCT